TTGTACATTATAAAAGGCGTGTTTTCATGGTAAAGAACATGGAAGGAAACTTCAAAGTGTAAAGGTTCACGGAAATTATGGGCATCTGATCACTTAGAGCAAGAGTCTGGCACCCTGTCCCAAAAATTGAGCAACATCCTACTTTGACCCAGATTATAATACTCTAATTTATCTTTGGCAGTATATTATTCTGTGAATACACTTATTAAGGTCAGTGGTACTTTACATGGAGTGAGGTGCTTGGAAATGAAAGTAAGTGCATTATAATCCGGCCTTTTCTGAATAGATTAATTTAAAACACATGCTGGAATATATTCTCTTTTCCACAATATTCTACAATAATTCTGTCAATATAGATTGGTAGAGTTCACATCCATATTGTTGCCCATCTACATCTTACATTCCAACCATTATACTACTTAATTACTTGTTGACATCTCTGCCCTTATTTTTATCTTCAACACCTTGTACTAGTATTAGTTCTAGTACTTCTAAGATCCCTTTTTCTTCTTAGATATTCCCAGTATTGTGCCAGTTTGTACATCTAGCAGAGGCATAAACAGCATTTTTAGTGCTATCTTTAGGCATCATGTTTTATAGATTTCATAGACATTAGGGATGGAAAGGACCTCAGGAGATCATCGAGTCCAGCCCCCTCCCCCAAAATAAAAAAAGACATATTCTATGTCTTTAATATTTAGGAGTTGGAAAATGCTACATACAGTTGTTTTCCTCTTTTCCCCATCTTGCTTTTCTTTACTGTTGTGTTAATTTTTATTCCTTCTTCCCATTTGCTTGCTAAACCACTCCCTTGTCTCACTTTCTGTTAAACTCCTTTCGTCCTTTTTTTCCTCTGGCCTATGTTGTCCTTTTAAAAGTATCATTATTTCCCATTACATCGCGTTTTCCTTCTTTCTACCTTACTCTGTCTGTTCCACCCCACTTTTCCTTTTTTCCTTGTTTTCATTCCCTGCACGTGCCTGGATACCGCCTAAGAATATGATAGAAAATGATGGAACTATTTCCCATCTCTTGTCTAGTCAGTGGGGGCCAAGCTTTTTCATAGGAATGCCACAAATTAGGCCTTGCACCCTCCCCAACTCTGATCACCTTCCCTGGACCAATCTGATGCTCTGTTTTCTGCTTCCTGCCCTGTACTCCTTGCTTTAGTTACCATTATGCTTTCTGATCCCAACCCTATCTGTTGCTGTGCTGCCTGCCCTCTCCCCAGGGCTGTCACATGCCACACACAGAGGTTACCTGTGATACTTGTGGCACCTGTGCTGCAGGCTGGCTGCCCCTGCTTTAGGTAATTTTGGGAAAAGGAGCTCATTCTGTCTTATGACATACTATTGCTACAAGTCTTACTGTTAGCAGTGCATCAAATCCCAGACTCCACAGAGCAAGGTTGTCCTGCTCAGGACAGTGCATGGGTAGGTAACATTCCTGTATGGCATTGGTTTACAGACACAGAAAGCAGATAAAGTAATCAATATCTCAGAAAGCAGGTTTTTCAGTAATGAAAAAAAGAGAAATGAAGGAGGAGAAATGTATGCATGGCAGATGAAAGATATTGAAGTGTGAAGAGAAAGAAGGATTGGAGTTAGGAACAGTAGAACATAGTACTGGAGAGGACCTTCAGTAATTGAGACTAGCCCGCTACAATTTTGGGTGACTATGTTATATGATTCTGAACCTCAAGCTAAAAACCATTTAGGTTTCCTGCTATCACTACTTTTGTTAGAATCTGATTGCAGATCCTCACTTCTGTGATGGGTAGAAACCTTTTTCTTATTTGCAGCCTAAAGCATTCTCGGGCAGTTTATACCCATTTATTTTTGCATCAGCATTGTCCTTTACCTTAACTGGCTCCTCTTTCTTTATGGAGTTGTTTGATATACTTTAATCCTGAACAAAATACAAAAGGGCTTCCCCAATTTAAGCATATTTTTGACTCATTATCTTTTGTGACATTTTTGCTGTATCCTATTGTTCATCTCTCCACTGTGTTCAAACCTCCCATGGACACTTCTTTGCTGGTCTAGAAACCTGATAATCTGCTGCATTTACCAGAGCACAAAATGGGAAGAAGTGTAGAACTTGATTTACAAAGGAATTTATGCTTTATAACAAGCAGATAGATACCCAGTGGGATTTTCAAAAGTGTGAACACACCTAACATCCATTACAATCAAGCTGACTTAGGTATGTCAACACTTCTGAAAAACCCAGTCAAATTAATTTTTGAAGATTTTACTCCTAGTGAAATTCAAAAGAAAACTAAAGTCAAGATTCATTTTTTCATGGACTGTAGTGGTGTTGGTATATGTGGACCTAAATTAAATTTGCTCATGTATGAAATGGAGCTGTCTCCCAAAGAGTGTTATCTAGTTTATTGGCTTGATGTAAAGCTTGTCCAAATATGTCTAGTACTACTGACTTCACTGGAGCTACATCTGTTTTACTGTCACTGAAGATTTGGTCCTGCACCTAGTTATGTAGTTTAGGCAGCAGAAAATAAGGAAAAAGACTAGAAAGTGAAAGCAATAATGGAGAAAGGAATAGTTGTTCATCCCTTGAATTCCCTGTGGTTATGGCAAATGGTAGATTTTCAATGCTTGTTATATTAATTTCACCCTGAAAACTGTATAATAGAGTTCTCAGAAGCCACCAAGTTAACAGAGGCATAACCTAACATCAGATTAAGTTGGAAGTGTTCTGTGAAGTGTTCAGATTTCACAAAACATTTCAAGTTTAATTTTAAGTGTACTGAGTATCAATGTTCCAAACAGGTCAAGCTGAGCTGAGCCATTTCTATTGGACCTCTCATACTATCTACATTGTTTGGGGGATAAGTGAAAATTAAACAAAAAAACAAAGCAAAAACCTCTAGCCATAACAAAATCATTAGCGGATAGAAACTGAACATTTAAGCACTAAGTAGCCCCTCCAAAAAGTCAGTCAAGCTTGGCTTGTGCCTATGTACCTTATAAAAACTAGGTTTTTTTAATGGAATTTGACTTTTTGCTGTATTAGCTGTAAAAAGATTTCTATTTATAACAAGTTTGAATAATTTAAAATATGTCAAAATGGATCTGGAAGACATTAAATGTTTCACACCTAGCCAAGAAGGAAAGTATAGTGGTTGTAGGTTCACGTTAGCTATCTGAGGGGAAATATATGAAAGATAAAAATCCAATTACTTTTTAGACACAAACTGATCTTAAGATAGAACTCATACATTTCTTTTATCTGTTTCTTCTGTAGAATGGACAACATGTTTCTTTATATTCTCATCAAGGGGAATGAGGAGCATGGAAACTGTCTGGTATGGCAACAGTGTAAAGAGACTTTAATTTAGTTGAGAGAAGAAAACAGGGTAGTATACAGTGAAAGGCTATCTTAGCTGAGATCCTCCCTATGCCATTAATAGCCCCATGAATGTTTATAAAAAGATATTCTCACCTTAGTAATCTGTCATTGGATAAGTGTTAGGGTCTGCCCTGTAATTACTGAAATGGTCAGCTCTCTATTATTTTCTGTTCATCACTTAGCACACTCGGCTATTTTGTTCATCACTTAGCACACTGGGCTCTTGGTCACAATAATATGTAGGTGCTAATGGAATACAAATTACAATCTTCAGTATATATATGAAAGACACGGGAAAGACTTTTACTGATTTCAGTGAGCATTGAATCAGGTCTTGAATAATTTGCCTATATCTCTAGGGCCAGATGCTAAGCAGCACGTAAGTAACTTAAGTGGGATCTAAATGCAGCTTAGGTGTGTGTGGGAAAAAATTGAAAGTTTCACTCAGCTGTCACCTGACCCCTGAGGATCTAAATGCCTTAATTTTTTACTTTAACATTTCCCATGTGCCTAAATGAGACCTCTGCATATGCTCAGAATTGCACAGTCTTGACAAGAATAAGCAACTAGGGGCCTAGATTGTTCCTAAATCTACCAAGGATCTATAAATTAGGTGTTTCTCTGCCTAAGTTTCCTGAGAAGATTAATTTAGTAGGCATTTTCAGCATCACAAAAAAGCTGTGCATTGGTGTGACTATTCAGTAACTTGTATAAACAATACTAAGTTGTTTATAAATTGTTTATAAACTAAATAATGACTGTGCAGTCAGCATCTTATGTAGATGCAGCCACAGAGTATTGCTGGCATTGGATTACAATAAATTAAATCACCAAACATTGTAAACAGCAGACTATGACCAGTCATCTTTGTACTGTAAATCATTGAAGAGGTTTTCACAATTTATTACATTTTGGAGAAAAATAGAGCATTTTTGGACAATTTAGCAATAGCAATACATTTTCTAGACCAGAGGTGTCAAACTCATCCCATGGTTCCAGGCTGGATCCTGACCTCAGGGATCCTCCGGGGCTGGATTTGGACCTTGGGACTCTTCTCAGGCCGGATCCATGGGAACAGCGGAAGCTGCAGTGCATCCAATGGTGGTGGCAGCAGGAGTGCAGAGGCAGCAGTAATAAGGCTCAGGGCCAGCAGCAGTGGGAGCTCTGGGGACAGCAGCAGTGAGGATATGGGGGTGGAGGGGCAAGTGCAGGCTTTATCTGTACAGCCCTCTCTTGTATCCATGCTACTGATGGCAATGTCCATTGGGGCCTAGGAGATCAGAAATCTCTGGTAGGTCACAACCCCCTAACATCACCACCCAATTTCTGGTACCCTGCCATTAGGCCAGTGGGCTGGATAGAACAGCTCTGTATGCCACATCTGGGCTGCAGGCTATACATTAGACACCACTCTTCTAGACCATCACACCTAGAAATAAAGAAACTTACAGAGTACAAAACTTGTTAAGCACAATGCTTGAGGACTATGTAAATCATTCAGCTTTAGCAAGATTTCAGGATGAACAGGGTAACAAACTGTTGCGTATGTTGATAACGTGAAAAATAAATTTTATAGAAGTAAAATAGAAAGTAGGAATTCTGGGGGAAAAGGTTGTAAATCAGCTTACCTGGGTAACCTTCTCTGTCACATTGTGCGTTCTCTCTTTCACCTTAGGTGCAATAATTGTTTTCTCTGAAGAAGGAGGAGATGAAGATTTTTTTTCAGTTTTGATATCTGAAAAGTTCAGGGTGAGTTGAGGAATTTTGTTGATGGTGCTGTATTTGTTGAGATTTGAATCTGATGTGGATCCCAGTAGACTTGACTTGATATGATTAAAAGGCCCTAAAATGGGAAATTGTACTTAATACTTGACAAATGGAGAGAAATAAAGAAAATGTCCACAATGCTTAAGTGATATATCACAGAAATATGTATTTAAAATAGTATATTTTATACTATTTTACTATACAATTTGTTTATATTAGAAATGGTCTGGATAAAAAGATAATTCTAACTATTAAAGTTTTGCTATTACATGTGTACACAATTACTTCCCTGCTATCCCACCACACACCTTACAATAATACATATACAGACAATGAATAGTAAAGTTGATGGAAGCTGTGTATATCTCTCCATAAGAGTTTTGAACCTGCTTGGTGCACTACATCACAATATAAGATAAGTATACTTGTACAGGGATGCCTGTGCTAGCTGGATGCTCATAAGTATTCAGTTTTCATTCGTTTGACCTTCTAAACACCCAAGTCATGGGGTCATTCATATCTGACTAGTTGGATACTCACTAGGCACACACGTATGTTGTAGCTTTTGTCTGTAAGATCACAAATTCCAAAAGCACTTTAGTGAATTAAATAACATTATTTGAATATTTGCTCTCCTTTCAACTGTTGTATTTTAAACAGCAGTCAATTAACTGAGCATAGACATGGTAAAAAAACTATTAGTCATCTATTCACAGATAATTATAATGGAGAGAGGGGGAAATGGCAGAATTTTTAAAAGAAAAGGTTAGTGTGATTGTACTAGGAACTTTTATTTATTCATTTCACTAAGGCATTTTATAACTTGTGTCTGTCTTCATTTCCTAGTTTAATTAATAAACATGACATCCAGGACCATGGCTATGATACATCCATTGTGATATTTAAAGTCTCTTATGTCCTTATTTGCATATAGATTCCAAGGCCAGTATTGAAATGTCTCAGTATATGCCTTTATTTGGGCATAGCCCTGTCTAACCTTTGATGAGCTGTCTCTGCAGGGTAATTGAGAATGAACAGGTTAGGCTTTTAGGTTCTTGAAACAGACAATGGGGAGACTTTGGTATAGCAAAAATGATTCAAGCGTAGGTCCTGGGCACTCTGTACAGAGAGCGTGGAGTATTAGGTCCCTCCAAAAGATAATTAAAAAAGCCTAGTCTACAGTTAAACCACAGTAATGTCTCTGGATGACCTTCCCTATAGATATGGCTCCTAGACCCTAGGGATTTAGAGAGAATTTCAACCCATCTCTCCCACTTCCCACAGACTAGAACTCAGAAATCCTTCAACTCAAAGAACTGACATAATCACTAGGCCACAGAGATCAACTCCCTCTTACTTTTGTTCACAGTATTGTCTGTGCATTTTTCATTAAGGAGTCAGTGGAGAAAGATAAATAACTGTGGCAGCAAAGAGCAGAACCCAGAACCTCCCCATCCCAGGAGGGATTTTTAACCAGTTGACTGGAGAGACATGCTCTCTCTTGTTTGTCTTTCTTCTCACCCAGCAGCTCTTTCACACTTAGTTGCCCCATGGCTCAGATGCAAGAGGAGGGATGGAGACTGCCCTAACCTCACCTCTTAACTTATAGTTTATAATATTTATAATATTCATAACACATATATGTATGTATGTTTCTTTACACACACCCTTACACACACACACACACACACACACACATTAAGGCTGCGTGAAGCTTCAGTTGCTGATTCGATTCGGCGGAGATTCAGCCTGATTCAGTGGCTGAATCTCTGAATCCAAATCGAATCAGGAGATCCTTTAATTTCTCCAAATCAAATCAGAACCCTCCAAATCTATTCGGAGAGATTTGGAAAGATTCAGAAATTCGGACATAGAGGTAGCTTTAAATGTTTTTTCTACATACCTATAGGTTACAGGGGCTCATGAACGTTGTGATGCTGGGGCACATGGAGTGTCCCACAGAAGCATGGGGGGCTTCCCAGGGCACTCAGCAGCAGGCCTGGAAGTGGACCAGGAGCCCTTTGGTCCACTTCCGGGTCCGTGTTCCCCCCCCCCCCCAGCTTGGTGACCGGTGCCTCCTGGGTATGGGGGAGGGGCAGCCAGGGTCCCCCTGCAGCCAATCACCAAGCCAGGGAGGCACAGGGGGGCCCCAGTGTACTCCCTGGCAGCCCTGGAAGTGGACCAGAAGTACACTTACGGCTTTGCCGCTGAGTACGCAGGGGGTCCCCCTGCGCTCCTGTGAGATGCTACTTCCACCCCAGCATCACAGTATTCACGAGCCATGCCTGGTACCTCAAGGTATGTAGAAAAAACATTTAAAGCTGTGTCTATGGCTGAATCACTGATTCTCCAAATCAGCATTGAATCTGCAGATTCAGATTCAGCTGAACCAAATTGGGGACAGTAATCTGAATCAATTAATTGAATCACTGTCCCTGATTCAGGTTGAATCTGAATCGAATGTGTCCCATTTTTCACACCCCTAATATAGCTAACTTTGCTAGAGTCAATAAAAATAACTTGGGATGAATTGACACAATAAGCCATATAGGACCTTGGAGATTCTGGCACTTAAATCAAGTCATCCTATTAATTTAAAATGTAAATATTCAAATAACTTTTCTAAATTGGCAAAATATTTTTTCACAGAATAGTGTGTTTAATCTTACAGCACATTGTATAGGTTAAAGTCAAATCTAAAGCCTAGAAATTATGTTCTGTTTTTGTGTAAGTAAAATTGCTAAAAGAATTTTGGAAATGTTCATTGAATGTAGATATTCACTAATACATGGCCTGCATTTCATGTCTTTAAGCTCCCAACTGTGGACCAGAACCTGATCTTCTTCTTGTATTTTTATTCATGTTGTAGGCGAACCTGGTGTTGACTTCAGTTGAGTAGGGAGCTCAAAATTTGACTTATGTGGGCATTGTGGACTGTTTCTGCAAAACTTCTGTTTGAGAACTAATTTTCCAAAGTGTTGCTATAATTGTTATTCCCAACATGATACTGTGAGACACAGGGATTCCTATAAAATTGTCAATTGACACTCCATTTGCCTTTTAGTGTTCTGTGTCATTTTAATAAGATTCAAGACTATTGGTTTTAAAATTATGTAATTCAACTGCTTTGTGAAATAGCAGTTTGAAGACAAAACTTTTCTATACTGCACAGAGGTATTTGCACTGATGCCAGATATGTACATAATTTATTCTTTCATTATCAATTTGGTTTGGTAAACAAAAAAACCAATGCTTGCTACAGAGTCATTTGCTTTAAAGAGCAGAATAAGAAGAGAGAACTGTAAATAAGTTTAGAGATCATGGGAGATCTCTAACACTGATTAGAGATACAATAACAGACTTAGGATGCGGTCCTGGCCTCACTGAAGTCAATAGGAGCTTTTCTATTGACTATAGTGCTCAAGGATTTTGCCCCTAAATTTCCTAAAGTTAGGCTTTGGGAGTGGAATTCAGAACCACGTCCTACCTGATATAGAGGAAAATTTGATGCCCCAGCATGGGATCCACAGCAGCCAGCTGCTGAACCTAAGGCCAGCACACTTCCTCCCAGGACTGTTTCAATGTTTTTTCAAGAACTATTTAATGTAAAATGCTGTAACAGTCCTAGGAGCCACAGCCCAGAATATACCTCCTCTCAAGTTCACTTGGGAAACTTTGGTGTGGAGACACCTAATTTCTAGTTCCCAAGTGGGCTTAGGGGTGAGTTTAGCACCATGCTGCCCAGACTAGGAGAGTTCTATGTTTGCTGAGGGGAATAACTCTGGATACTTATAGCACTGTAAGGATTTTTGGGGGAGATATCTTTTGTTGGACCAACTGCATGGTTGGGATACAGTCAAACGAGCTTTTGAGTATAAGGCATTTTTCATCAGGTCCCCATAATTCCTGGACTATCATGGCTCTAACATTTCCATAGGGACCTTTGAGGTATGCAAGACTCATAGGCTACAAAAAGATGTCGACTTTGTGATTGGATTAGTTGGGCTGGTGTGCATCCTGGCAGAGCTGATCTGATAGATGGGCACAGACAGACATCACCTGTGGCCACTCTCCTGCAGGATCAGAGCATTCCTGGGGATTCAGGAACATGATCCTGTGGAACAGGGGCCCTGAGTACATGGCTCTCACCCAGGGCATGCATCCACACCCAGGGACTGGGTCCCTGAAGCCCCTGGAGTGTCTACCTAGGGCAGCTTGAGAGCCCGGACAACTCTGGGCTATCTGTACTCTTTGCACCATAAATAAACAGACATCTGTTGTGAAAAGGAAGGACAAACTATTAATAGGAATAATTGTGCTCACTGTTTGGGGTATTTGTGGCCCAATGAGCAGCAAGGACATCTGCTTGCTCAGTTTGTTTGTGGCATAAACATTTTTATGGCAGCATATAGAGTTTAGGTCCCTCTATCACTAGATAGCAGCTGATCAGGGATTGTGGGTTTAAGTGTCTCATTTCCAACTAAGTCCTGCTTTAGGCATCTAAGTCTTTCTTGGATCTGGTCCTTAAATCCTTTATCGGATCAACCCCAAGTGAATTAACTCTGTCTATGAAATGGCTTTATTACAGTGATTCTTTTTGGTGAGAATTGTCACAACCTATGATGCATTAGAGCTGTTTTCAATTGCACACTAGAATATAATCTTGCTTTTTATCCTTTGGCTTTAAAAACAGATGCAAGGTATAATATCTGATTGATGGTGAATTAATATTATATCATTAAAGACATTACTGGCTTAAATGTACCCTAGGCTGGTAGTTTCTAAAAAATTACTACCATCTGACAGATACTCTATTCATTTACTAAATGGACAGATGGCCATACCAGGAAGGAGGGGGAAAAAGCAAAGCAAAGGAAAACTAGAAAAAAACCACCATTGATACTGCTTGGCACCCTGGTTGACAGTTTAAGCAGACACGTCAGGGACTAAATAATCATGGGGGTTGAAAGGGCATTGCAAAGGGTGCCACTCTAGATCAGGTTTGAGATATAATTTGTGGAGCATTATCACTGACTGTGCTGCAACTCTGCTATGTATTATCGTGGACTTTATACT